CTCAAATTTGACCAATAGAATGTAGAAGGCAGCATAATTTTGCTGCCTACCTTTCTGCACAGCCTTCATGTCTATGATGAATTGAAATGCTGTCTATGTAGGCAGCACACTGGCTTTCAGAACAGAGCGGTGCTCTCTGCTCTCTTTCACTTTCTCATGTGTTTCATTTTCTGCTGTTATTAAAGTGGTTGGGTGTGATATGGGAAGCCGGTTGAGTCCCGTCCCTCAAAGCTCTGAGAGAATGATGCTAAATGAGTCTCTCCATGAAAACCCACCCCCCACCCCTCTCTCTCTCTCTCTCTCTCTCTCTCTCTCACACACACACACACACATATATATATATATATATGCATTGACATATTTGTTTTCCTCTAATCCTGGGTGAATTATTGTGTCTTAATGACAGCTCTTATGACAGCTTTTAACATTCATATTATATCACAAATAATGAGAAATAACATGTTTGGATAAACAATAATGATCATATAGACATTATTCAGCATGGTAAACAAATACAAAATTGGATAAATGGCATAAATCTGCAAATGCTTTAACTCACAAGCAAACAAACCATCTAAAATCATTAAGTACGGTAATTCCAGCTAGTAGCAAGTCGTGCTAACAAGACTAATGAGCATCTATGATATGAAATGGTGCACATTTCCAAAATAATGTTTTCAAGTGATTATATATGTTAGCAAAACTTTAGACAATCTGACAGACGGGAAGAAAGAAATCTGCAATTCTCTCATGCCTCAGTGCCACTCTCGCCCCGGATCTTTTCACATTTCTGATTAGCAGACACATTTTATCACTCTGCAGACAACTCAATTTTCATTTTGGGAGGGGAGAAGGAAAGGGTGACAGCCCAGGGCCTTTAAGGCGGCTCGGGGACCCCGGTGAGCCCAGCGCTGAAGCTGATAATTAGACTTCCCTGAACCACAGGTCAAAGAGACAGAATTATTTGGCCTGTAGACAGCAATTTCCTCAAGCCACACGAGATGAGATATCACAAGCTGTTATACATGTGCACCAGGAAGCCTCGAGAGTGGGGTCAGAGTCAATCCTATTCCCTACAGAAATTCATATATTGAAAGGGCAACTAACTAGGGACCATGATCATTTAATTTGACTTCTTTCAGGGGACCGTGTTCCTCAGCCAGCAATTTCGAGGACTGGTTTGCAGCTCTTACATACCCTGATAATAATACCCAGGGTTTTTTGTCTGGAGAAGAGCGCTCTTCATCAGGGTTGGTGGTCATGTCGATTAAAGGTATCAAAAGTGACAGAATATAATGAAAAGGTCGCTGTCCCTGGTGTAAACTCTATCACTATCAAAAAAATTAAATAAATAGAATCTGGGGACTTTTCAGAGTTGTGTAGGAGTGTGGGATCAGGAATGCATTACACTTCCTCAGAAACATTCGAGACGAACATTCATATGCTCCCATCAAACATTGTTTCATAAATGCCTGCCTTTCCACCCTCTCTGTAACTGTGAAGACTACTATTTACACATATTCCTGTTCCTATGCTCTTAAAAATAAAGGGTCCAAGGGGTTGTTTGCAGTGATGCCATAGAAGAACCATTCTGGATTCTCTAATAAACCTCTTAGTGAGCAGTTATTAAAACAACCATGTTTTTCTTAACTTGAAGAACATTTTAATAATCTAAAGAAACTTTTTCCTCTATAAATCACCTTCACTCTTAAAAATAAAAGTTCTTTATTGGCATCAATGGTTCTATGAAGAACCTTGAACATTTATGGAAACTTTCAAATGCAGAAAATGTTCTTTATAGTCAAAAAAGGTTCTTTCGATTTTTAAAATGTTCTTCAAAATGGTTCTTTCAGGAATTGTTCACTGAAAGGTTCTTTGGGGAACCAAAAATGGTTCTGCCATGGAATCACTGCAAAAACACCCTTATGGAACCTTTATTTTTAAGTGTGTTCCATGGATGTTAAAGGTTCTTCATGGAACCACAGATCCCAATAATGAATCTTTTATAATAACAAAACTATGTGCCATTTACATGTTGTGAGCTGAATTCCAGACATAATTGGAACTGCCAGTGAAAAACAAGAAAACAGGTTTTTCTCAATTGGCAAATGGAGCAATTTGTATGTAGACTCCAAGTTAGTCTGTGCCTGTGCAATAATATCCAATGTTACATTTCATACAGAGTGTGATACAGTCTCACACCTGCTTCACAAAGTACAACAATGAACAGTTGAGTTGAAAGGAGAGAAAGTGGTGGCAGATTCTTCAAGATAGCCTTTAGTGAAATGCTGGTTTTTGTAAGACAGAGGCTGTTGCAGTGGCTGGGAAGGAAAACATGGGGACAGCTGTATAATTATACTATTTTTACTGTCGGGAGCTCGGTATGTGAGAGGAGAATTAGCATCACACCTGTGCATAATTGGCTAAATTAGCTTGCATAATGCAAACTCTGAGAAGCATTGGACACTGGGGGAGGAAGTGCTACATCGAAAATTGAGGGAGTTGTTTGGACTCCCTCTGGAATTTAGTGAAGGGAGGAAAAGCATGGCCTGTAATCTTATATCTCAAGTCAAAAGAGCATTCAAGGACCCCCTCGCAAGTGTTGTCAAACAATAGGCAAGTCAAGACCTTGATCTGGGTCTCCTGGATCTGCCCAGGCAGGAGAAACAGACATGCAGCCCAGCACTTATTTGTTTTAATCCACTCCAGTGAGTCTATGAATAAGTTGTGACTGCCAGCCAGGGCAGCGCAGGTTAGTTTATGATGCATCCAGTGACTGAATGCGGATTCTGTGCACACTTGCTGGAGTGGTAGAGAAATCTCGAAAAACAGTATTCCCTCCAGGGCACCAGATGTATTAATCAGTTCTTATTACAGAGGCCACTGAGTTAGTAGACTCACACTACAGTATAAATGCAGTGTTTTCCATTATAATACACAAGACAGCATCCTGACATAACACTGTACAGCACAAGCTATTTTAAAATTCAGCAAAATCCCACATATCTGTAACTGTAATAATAATTTATAGCATGTCTGAAAAAGTCAAAAAAAATGTACAATTTAAAAAAATGTTGTAGAAAGAAGATGGTAAACATAAATTAAGGCAAAAGTCATAACAATTAATTAATAATTGCTTATTGTTACAAATCAATATGCTAAATATTACATATTGGCACACACTACTAAAAGTGGGAAAGCTTTAAAAAAATGTGCGCAATTAATATTTGTGATCCTAGACCACAAAACCAGTCATAAGTCGCATGGGTATATTTGTAGCAATAGCCAACAATACATTACATTGTCTTTTATGCCAAAAATCATTAGGATATTAAGTAAAGATCATGTTCCATGAAGATATTTGTAAATTTCCTCCCGTAAATATATCAAAACTTAATTTTTGATTAGTAATATGCATTGCTAAGAACTTAATTTGGACAACTTTAAAGGCGATTTTCTCAATATTTATATTTTTTGGCACCCTCAGATTCCATGTATCAAATAGTTGTATCTCGGCCAAATATTGTAACAAACCCTACATCAATGGAAAGCTTATTTATTCAACTTTCAGATGATGTATAAATCTCAATAAAAAAAAGACCCTTATGACTGGTTTTGTGGTCCAGGGTCACATTTAACCTTTTGTCATTTTATTGAAAATATGGTTCTAAAAACTATGCTTTGTTCTGGTGTGGATGTGTCAAATTAGCATACAAATATCATAAGTTGTTCTCCTGAAGATCCTTGTCAGATTTGGAAGGGGAGGCAGTTCTCAAGCAGACAGCACTTTGAACTGTTTTGATCTGCTACCACCTACTGGTTAGTGATACTGATGAAGAATCAACTAGGCACATTCTCTTAGGTTTAATCCTTTCAAGGAAAGCAGGCGCTGTGTGAAGCCATCAGTTCTTTTCTCACCTCTCAATTGCATTAGAGTTTGAAGTAAGAGTTTCTCCATCTTGTGAAGATTAGATTGTTGTTTAGGGCAGGAGAGAGGCAGTGCACAGGAGGTGATACTATAACAGTTAGTTTATCTCCAAAGCTGTTATTAAAGGTAACAAGTTGCAGAATGAGAATTTTAAAAAAAAAGACTATTTAGCAACCACTACACAATTAGGTCAAAAGTGGTGGTTACATACAGCATATACAGAAAATATTAAAATCACATGGCAAAAAAACTGTCAGAAGCATACTATCTTTAGTGAAATGTATAGGGATCTGAGTAGATAAACCCAGTGGCCTTTTCACATACTTCTTTCAGAATTGCATATTGCATACATGTTTTTTCAAACTATTAATACTTCAGTATTTAATCAGTGCACAGAAGTCAATGTTCACTATGTGAAATGTAATGCTTTACACCAGCTAAACCAAAACATATAGAGCCATTGTATGCACAGTGGTCTATATAGTCAACTTTAATTTGCAAAGGCAGCACAAAAGCTGCAGCATAAACAGTATATTAAACACAAAATGTTGTCTTTGCTTTTACAAAGAGGCAGAATAAATGCATTTACAGGGGAATTACAATAGCAGAAATAAGTATGTAAAATTAATGCTTTAAATGTTACAATTTTGAAAATAGAAACATTTTAATAAAATATTAAGTTATAAATAAAAATTAAATTATAAATGATTACGTAATTGCAATACAATAATAATAATAATAATAATAATACAATATATTCTGTTCTGCAAAATTTAAGGCAGTAACGTTACTAATATTGCATTCAATATATACAGATGTTACATTATGTTTTTTATAAATATTAAAAACACTTGTTATGGGTACTGTGTAGCCCTAAACAATTTATATGAAATATCAAATATAACGACACAATGTAAAAGTATTACTTACTGTCAATGTGGGACTTCTACCTCATCAAACTTCACATCTTATTTTGTCATAAAATTCGTATGCTTTTATTTTGTAAAATAAACGGAAGTTGCGTGGTGCCAGAGCCCCTCCCACAGGAAAATCTCTGTTTTGGTTTGAATTCAACCAACCAAAAGCAAGCAGAGGCGTATTTTCCGTCACAGAGGGAAGTTTGAATTTTATCATGCGATTTACACTCCTATACTAATGACTGTAATATCATTTTATTAAAAAGGACTATGTGTTTTGCCTTACGGAGTGAGAAGACTAGAAAAAGCTCGTGATAAAGTGAGTCTAATGGCAGTTAACGTTACTGAATTTGCCAAGCCAGTAACGTTAGCAACAGACCGCTAATTCAGAGCTCTTTAAATCGCCATTTTAAAATTTAGATTTGTACTTAATCCTGGCTGCGTAATACACAATAATGAAAGCGATGAAAGAGGAGACTACCGCAATGAAACAGATTCACGACGACAAAGACCTCAGTAAGTTGCTTTTCCTACAGGTTTTGTAGCAACGAATTTCTTTGTTGCGACTATACCAATAATCAGATATGTACCTGTATAACTTACCATTTTTACCATAATATCGTCAAATATTTAGTCTGCAGTCTTTGTAAGAGATGTGACAACATTCCAGAGAAGTATGGAGAGAAGATCACCCTTCAGCAGCACAACCTGACAGTCCACTATTTCTGTTTGGTGAGCCAGACGTTGATGATGTGTATGTGTGCAACAAATTTCATTTTGAAGTCCCTTTCTAGTTTTCCTGTTAAAACAGAGTGTTGTGACACCCTACCCTAAAGTATAAGGCATCTTATGATGCCATAGATAATACATTATGTTCAGCTGTTCTAGAACATAAGTTGGTTGCAAGGCAAGAGAGATTAACATAGACATAAATAATATCTACTTATTTTTCACAAACTATGTATCTTTATTTCTTATTGCTAAAAAACATTTTATGAATTTCTTTTCCTTTAAAAATTTTACTCCTGACAGACCCCAGTTTGACGATCATAAATACCCTAGAATGTCAGATATAGTTGGTTATTTCTACATGTACTGTCCGTCATGAATCTCTTATTGGAATACATAATTTCACACCTTGAATATTGTCTTTATGCAAGGCTGTTTTCAAACATGGAATCTTTTAGCTTCTAAATGTAGGAAACCGCTTTGTTTTGTAGTATGTACAAATATTGTAAAAGTCTCACCAAAATCATAATTCAAGCATACATGTACAAGTTAGTTATTCTTCAATCTAATTTTACAGCTGATGTCTAGTGGAATATGTCAGAGAGGGGAGGAGGATGAAGACATTCATGGTTTTCTCGTGGATGACATAAAAAAGGAGATCCGCAGATCTTCGAGGCTGGTAAGTTAAGTACACATTTGACCATTGGCATGTTCTGTTTAACGCTACAGAAATGTTTTTGAGACTAGCTTTTACTTTTTGACTTGCAGAGATGCATTAAGTGCAAAAAGGTTGGTGCTTCGGTGGGGTGCTCCATCAAAAGTTGTCGGCAAATGGTCCACATGCCTTGTGGATTAGAGCAGGAGTTTATTTTCCAGTTCACAGACTTGTTTCCGTAAGTGTCTCTTGTGATATGCAAAATGTGATGGTTGCTGATGGAAGATGAGATAGAAAAGTAAAATCTACAATCCGAATCTAGGTTGGTATGATTAAAGATCCCTCTTATGCTTATCAAGGCTGCATTTATTTGATCAAAAACACAGTTAGAAACAAGAAATGCTGTGAAACATTATTACAATTTAAAATTTTTCCAGGATTCTTTGATCAATAGAAAGTTAAAAAGAGCGGTGTTTATTTGAAACAGAAGTCTTATTTAACATTATAAATGTCTTTTCTGTTACTTTTGATCAATTTAATGCATCCTTGCTAAGTAAAAGTATTCATTTCTTTAAAAAAAAATTGTAATACCCCCAAATTTAAATGGTATTGTAATTTCCTGTACATTTCTGGTCATTTCATTTCAACTTAGTGATGATGGCAATCATTTGCAGGTCTTTCTGTAAAAAGCATGCACCTAGTCAGTCCTGCGTCTCCAGCCCCAGTCTGCCACTTTCTTGCTCCGTCTGTCTGGAGCCCATCGAACCCGTCCTCTCCTATAATGTCCTCAAGTGTCCTGCATGTCATGGCAGCTGGTTTCACAGAAACTGTGTACAGGTAATTGTTCCACACATTCAGGTTGATGATATAAAAAATATGTCTAAAATACAAAGATATGGGATTTGAAATTTGAGCCTGGTTCTCATCTCTTATGTTCCAGCATTATGCACACAGCGCTGCCATGTTTTTCTTCAAATGCACATTGTGCAATAACAAGGACCAGTTTCAGCAGGAAATGCTCAGAATGGGAATATATATACCAGAGCGGTAAATCAATGTGTTTCCTTCTGATATTGATTCTAGTGATTCAATGTAAAACATTCTGATTTGTGTAGTGTTTGATTTGTATCCTTCATAGCCTGCTGGAATTATTTACATTTTATGTTTATTTATTTTTACATTTATTTTTAATATACATTTTTTTGCACATCACTTTGACATGGCAAAACAATGTAAATAGTTTCCATTACTATATATGTTAAAGGAATAGTTCACCTAAAAATTACATTTTGCTGAAAATTGACTCACCCTCAGGCCATCCAAAATGTAGTGATGTGATGCTAAATTTCTTCAAACTCGTGTAGTTCTTGTATGACCTCAGGTTTAGTATATTTTCAGCAAATTTTCTTTTATGAAAACCTATTCCTTTAATATTCTGTAAGCATCCATATTGTGTATATTTTTCAGGGATGCAGCATGGGAACTTGAGGAGAATGCATATGAAGATTTATTGCAAGTGTACCAGCACTGTGATGCTGTGAAGTGTCACAGTCACAAAGGTCGTAAATACAGCTCACAGTCAGGGTAATTTGAGCATTTTATTTAGTCATTCTGAAATCGTGAAATGGAATCAGTTTGTTTTTGAAAAGGATTCTAACTACTGTTCAAATTTGCTCTGCAGGTATTTTGAAATTGTTCGTTGCAAGTTGTGTGGATCCAGGGGAACTCATCGAAAATGTTCCAACCTTAAGCTTTACGAAAGCGACTGGATCTGTACTGACTGTAAAGCTGCTGTTGAGGGAAAAAGTGAGCTATCTGAACTAAATATTGTTTAATATGTGCTTGTTTTGTAAAATTATTCAAAGTTACATACATGGATTTTTTTCTCCCCCAGAGTCAGTGCCTTTGCCAAACCATGTTGAATCCCCACTGGCTGTAAGGCAAGAGAGGAAGAGGCTGTTTAAAAACATCTCTGACCTTCACTCTTCACTCATCAGTAAAAGGTACTTTCCTAATCAATTGCATCTGATATGAGAAGGATATGTTCTAGATTATTTACACATGCAGCATAAAATGTATTCAATATATATTGAATTGTAGTAGTAGCAGCTCTCTCTCCTTGTTTTCTAGGCAATATGTGCCTGCCACTTCTCCAGAGCTCTTAATGGATCTGGCCCATCAGATATCACAGCAGCAGTCTACAGAGGTGCTAGTGGAAGATGATGATGGGGTGATGGAAGCAGCTCTGCGGGTTCTGCGGCAAAGTGACTTTAATCCCTGTTGCACGCTTTCTGTGAAGTTCTCCCAAGACAAACATAGCAACAACATTAGGAATCAGCGTCGCTTCCTCAGATGTCTTGTTTCAAAACTGCAGATGTCAGAAATCTTTGAGGGCCCTGATAGATCTAAAAACCTGGCTCTGAGCTCAAAAGGTAGGACACTTTTTTCCCTTTAATTTATGTTTGTTTCGATTTCCTTTTCTTGAAAATTTGCCATTCCGGGCTTATATACATAAAGCCCCTCTCACTGCTGCCTTCAAAATGAATTGTTGTGTGTGAACAGCTCTGAGGGATGACCTGTACTTTGAAGTCGGCAGTCTGTTGGCCCTCTCTTTGGTTCATGGAGGTCCTCCTGTGGGCTTCTTCTCTCCAGCACTGTACCATAGTCTGTTTAACTACCCCACAAACTACAGACCTACTTTACAAGACCTTGGAGACACTACTTTTGCACACAAAATCCGACAGGTGAGTTTTGTTTTTCCTGACATTGTGCTTCAAACCTGCTGTTGCACTGAGGTGCGTGATTACAGTGAACCAAAAGGTTGTTGTACACCTGTTAAACTCAAAAAGTGCACTTTTAGATTGCAGAAGCAAAGTCAATGAAGGAGCTGAGAATGGCAATGCAGTCAGCATCACAGTATTTGGAAGCAGCCGGTTGCTGGCGAAAGATCAGAGAACTCTCAGAGAAGGACATGCTGGTGGAGGATGTACTAAATTTCTACCTGATCATCAGACTACAGCTGCCTCTGCAGAGGTTGGTACCCTAACTTATTCCTGTGATGGCAAAGCATTATACCAGTCTTCAATATCACATGATCCATCAGAAATGATTCAAAAATGCTGACTGCTCAAGAAACATTTCTTACTGTTATCAAAATTGAAAGCTGTTGTGCTGCTGAATATTTAGCTGAAACCATGTTTTTGGTCTTTGATGAATAGAAAGGTTCAAAAGAACAGTATTTATCTGAAATAGAATTACCATAAATGTGACCTTGGGCCACAAAACCAAAATATGATGTATTGATTTATACATGAATGAATAAATAAGCTTTCCATTGGTGTATGGTTTGTTAGGATAGGAC